TTGAAACGTGTCAAAAAAAAAAATTTATTTTTTAAAGTTGTTGAAAAAAGAAAAAGGAAAAATTTTTAAACAATTTTTAAAAAACGAAACAATACGAAAAAAAAATACTGGAATTTAAATTTATAATTATCAATTTTTGTTGATGTTTATCAGAAGTTTGTATCTGACTACAGTCTTTTGAAGGCTAATTTGAAATGACGCTAATATTAGTTAATCGTTGTGCTTGGCTTTTGTTGGATTTTAATTTATAAGTGAATATTTTTGGTAACATTATTTTGGTTTTTTAAATAGGCTATCAAAACTAATGAGTGTTTTTATTCAATTCTACCGTAATCAACAGTGTGAAAGTAAACTGTGAAAAAAGGAAAGCTCTTTTTTAGTGTTATTACACTTTTACTGCTAAGTTTTTTTTTTCTTAATATATTAAGATTTCTGTTGCTTTTGGTAATATTCTAAGCAGCCACAACAAAGTTACATTTTACAGATTGTGGAGACTCCGCACCATATTGTCGAAAGACGAAGTACGCGCCCGGCGTCGCTTTAATCGCTTGTTGAGAGCGTTTGATACCGAAGATCTTGCTGCTATTTTGAAAGTAATTACTTTTTTTAATCATAATACAGCATATTTGTACAGAAAACATTTGTACAGATCAACAAATTATCTGTCTCCTAAACTGTTTTGAGTAAGGTTCTCAAAAAAAAAAGAAGCGTGAATGATTCATCAAATAGGTAGTTCTTCACTATCGTTGGTCATCAATTGAACCGAACTTTTTCGTCGATTTTAAAATCTGTATGAGCATTTTCAGTCGGTACAGACAGGAGGTCGAGAAATTAAGCAGTGTGCTCCTGGACCACCAATGGATATTAAGGAAGAATTACCTGAGTGCTCAAAGGATGATGTCATTGAAGAAGGTGATGAAGAAGAAGAAGGAACTTTTCAAGAAGAGAAAGTGGATACTGGTTTAATACCACAGATAGATAAACCTATGTCTATGCCATATTTATGCTGCAAATTATGGAGGTGGAAAGACCTACAGGTTAGTAGTAAGCTTGTTTATTTTTTTCAAAGCTAATAAACTCGTTTTCTTCAATGTTATGTGTGAACAGTCATTTAAGAACAGTAAATAAATATATTTTTTCAAGAGTTTTAAAATAGTTTTCTGCCTTTTTTTTCAAATATTTTTTATAGTAGGAAACTCTTTTTTTT